AGGACCTAGAGATTCCTAGAGAGGTGTTCTCACTGGTTAAAAAAATAGTGGCTTTCTGGTTGGCCAGTGTGAGAAAGAAAATGTTGGACAAGATAAACCTTTGATCCAATCCAGGAGGACTTTTCCTACATGAAAATAAAAGTTTAGCATCATATTCCAACAATATGAGCTAACTGTTCAGTCTTTCTCCCCCAATAGCTGAGCCCCAATGGTGGCCAAGAGGACAACAGGATGAAAAATGTCCCAGTGCCTGTGTACTGCCGCCCTCTGGTGGAAAAAGACCCAACCATGAAGGTAAAAGTTAAAAATGTGCAAAAGGTTTCTTTTTATTTTAGTAAGAAGATTTCTGCCTTGCTAAACATAGTAATGGAAACAATATCACTGTTTGGGCATTCCATCAATAATCTAGGAAGCTTTTATTGCCCAGAAAAGGGGTGGCAGCTTTAGGCTCTAAGGCTCCTTATCCTATTTTCAAATCCTTTTTGCAAATGATCAAGATGCTGGAGGATGGAAAGGGCTCTCCCTTATGTCCTAACATTTGGAGCAATACATGATGTGGGAATGTGGGCGAGGGACTTTTCTGCTGTGGTATTTGAGTAGTGGAATGACCTCCCCTAGAAACCTGATTAGTGCTGATGCTGGGCTTCTTTTGAGGCCAAGCTGAAACACTGCTCTGTATCTGAGATTTTGGGCCCAGTAACAGAGATTTGACTTTAATTCAGTGAACTATGAATTTCTGTAAATTTTTATTATCCATATTCATTTTAGCCTAGCTTTAGGCTTGGCTATGTAACATAGACAGCTTTGGTCACCTTGGTGGATGACTAGCTAGGAAACTAAACAAGGTTGTGTCCCTATTGGTTCTGCTGGACCTTTCAGTGGCTTTCAATACTATTGACCATGGTATTCTTCTGAACTGCCTCTTTGGCATGGTTTCTGCAGTGGTTCTGGTCCTTTGAGAGATGAACTCAGAAGGTGGTGCTGGAGGATTCTTGTTCAACTCCATGGCCATTGGCCTCCAGAGTTCAACAGGGATGTTTTGTCCCCCATGATATTTAACATTTTTCATGAAACCACTGGAAGAGATTATCCAGAATTTTGGAGTTGGATGTCACCAGCATGCTGGTGTCACCAAACTCCATTTCACCTTTCTATCCATTTCCATGAAATCTGTCTCTATACTAAACCAGTGCCTGCAGTCGGTAATGGACTGGATGAGGGCAAACACACAGAAGCTTAATCAAGACAAGACAGAAGTACTTCTGGTCAGTCAAAAGGCAGATCAGGGAATAGTGATTCAGCTGCTGAAGGATGGGGTTACACTCTACGTGAAGTCTCAAGTTTGCAGCTTGGGTGCATTTCTGGATTAAGATCTGAGCTTGGATGCCCAGATCTCAGTGGTGGCCAATATATATATGTATTAATATATATTATAATTACTTTTTGTTCTGTATGGCAAATATCGGTATGAGATGCTGTTTGTTAAAAATATTTTTAATAAATAATAATAATAATAAACAATTCCAAATTTTAAATAGTAATAGAATAATTTGAACAAACTTTTTTAAAGTATTTATTTATTTAATATCCTTCATGTGTCTCAATATGAGACACATCTTAATTTAACAAGATAAAGCACCATAAATAGTTAAAATAGTCCATGAACATGTGAGAAGAAAATTGGGAACCAAAAGCCTTTCATAAAAAGCTATGTTCTGACTTGGTGCCAGAAAGAAACCAGTGTCAGCACCAATTGGACTCCACAAATGGGATGGATACAGCATGTTACTTTTTTGGACTCCAAGTCTCAGAATTCCTAGCCGATGTATCCACTGTCCAGGCTGGCTGGAGAATTCTGAAATTCTTTATCCAATATCTTCCAAACTCTTCTGAAATGATTCTCTTGGCATTTTGCTGAATCCTGACATACTGTGAATGCTTAATATTGGACAAGGAAGACACTCCACCTTCTTTCCATTAAAAAAAACCCTACTGTTCTTTAGTCAGACATTGTTTTTTGTCGTTTTAGTTGTGGTGTGCAGCTGGTGTCAACCTAACAGGTTGGAAACCTGTGGAACAGGATATTGGGAATGGACAGAAACCCGAACCAGGATGCGACCCTCTAACTTGTGATCGAGAAGCAGAAGAAGAGAATGCCAAGAGTAGCCACACATCTCCAGAAAAGAAAAAGGTTGGGGCAGAGAATCATGCATTTTTCTCTTCTCTTCCTCCTGTTTTACATTTAGATATGGTTTGTGGTTGTTGTATGCCTTCAGATTGTTTCTAACTTATGACGACCCTAAGGTCATGGCGTTTTCTTGGAAAGATTGGTCCAGAGGAGGTTTGCATTTCCCTTTCTGTGAGACTGAGAGAATGTGGCTTGCCCAAGGTCATGCAGTGGGTTTCCATGGCCAAGCAGTGATTTGAACCCTGATCTCCAGAGTTGTAGTCGAATGCTCAAATCATTACACCACACTGGCTCCCACTAGATGTGGGTACTTGAGCTGTTTGTAATGAACTAGCTGTAGTAAAGCAACTGATGGTCTGCACTAAAGATATAATGCACTTATTTGTGCCAGAGCTTGCTGGAATATTATCTCTCTAAAAAAATATTTTGTTCCTATCACTTGTTATTAGCATTTGAAGTAATGAACATATTATGTCTTACAGTGGTTGTCTCTACACTTTAGAAGTAATGCAGTTTGACACCTTTTTAACAGTCATGGCTGCATCCTATGGAATCTTGGGATTTGTAATTTTGTGAAGCACCAGCACTCTCTGACAGAGAGGGCTAAATAGCTCACAAAACTTCACATCCCCAAATTCCATTGCATTGAGCCATGGCAAATAAAGCAGTAACAAAATGCATTAATTTTGCAGTGTGAACGCAGTCAGTATTATGAAATTTATTTTCTCTATTTATACTCATTTTGAAATGCAGTGTTCTTGTACCTTTATTATCAAGAGTACATGAATTTATGTGCCCAGCTCTTCAATTATACTAAAACTAGTATTTATTTAGTATAATTGAAGAGAGACTGAAGGGGGGGGGTAACTTTTTAAAGGTGACTTGCTATTTCCAATGTCTGATTGGTGCTGTCCACTCTAACAATGCTTTTTGCAACCTTCCCCAACATGACCTCTCTGTCTCTGCTGGAATTAGGATTACCAGGTGAAATGAGGGGCAGGACTCCTGCCTCATTTTTATCATTAAAGTTTAATGGTTGTCTAGAAGAGGGAACTTCTGAAGATGTTGCTTGTCACCTACTGAAATTTCCTCTTCTGCACCTCTACAGTGTTAAAGGTACAGGAACTCTGTCCCTTATTTCACCAGGCAACCCTAACTGGACTATACCTTTCCTCCAACTGCTAGCTGGGGCTTCCAAGGCTGCTATTAATTTTTAAAAGTTCATTTAATTGCAAATATCTATTCATTTAAAGCATTTTTACCCTGCTCTTTAGCAAAACAAAAAACCCTTCCCAAAGTGGCTTAGAAAGATGTGTAAAAAATAAATAATGGCAAAAGCATCAGTCTTTTGTCCTGAAGAATAACATGGAGAGAGACAGTTATAGCCTTGCCTATACTTATTCTTGACCCACTGATAGATGTAATGTTGTGTGAGAGATGCTTCATCTTGGCTTCGGGAGTCTCAGTTCCATGAAGGATTACATTACAAATATGGTCCCAATTCCCATGTACTTTTCTTTCATTCTTTCTCCCTTATTGCTTCTGTTTTGTTCCTCTTTTTTAATACTTGTAAAGCATGTAAACAAATAAAACAAATACATAAGTAGTTAGGCTATACAACAGGAGTAGGCAACCTTTTTGAGCCAGGGGCCAGGTTGCTGTCCCTCAGACAATTGGGGGGCCGAAGCACCATAAACAAATAAATAAATAAATAAATAAAAATAATGTTTTTTTTAAAAATAAATATATATGCATGCACACCCTCTCAGCCCCAGAAAAGCCATGGCAAAACCCCTGTGGAGATTTTGCCAAGAAAACCCCAAGAACAAGTAATAACAACAATCAATATCATCATGGCGGGCAGCGGTGGCGGCGGGGGGGGGAGGCGGAAGGACCAGCCTGGGGCCGGTCCAAAGGCCTCAGGGGGCCACATCCGGCCCCCGGGCCTTAGGTTGCCTACCCCTGCTATACAAAATGAAAACACATACCAGTGCTGTATGCAGAGAGATCTTGTAGCACCTTTGAGACTAACTGAAAGAAAGAAGTTGGCAGCATGAGCTTTTGTAGACTTAAGTCTGCTTCCTCAGATGCATTTGGTCACTGTAAGCAGAAGAACTAAACATCAGTCATGATTGACATAAAGGTGGAGAGTAAGCATATAGCATATTTAGACATGTACAACAAATAGATGAAATAGCCACCATTAAAGTCAGACAACTGAATAACCATTACAAATTGACATAACAAGCAATTAATTTTGAAAACAAGCAAACAGATTATTTCATTCTTTTCAAAGATAACTTCCAGTCATATCTTCATCTGATAAGGATATACTTTAATGATTACAAAATATAGGGTTCCTCTACCGCACCAAATCTCATCAGAACCCTAATGACATCCATATTGCCTTGTAACTAGATCTTTTAAACATGACCATTTATTTCCATTGCTCTATTGATGGTTTGTGTGGAGTTTGCCAACATTCAGTTACTACTGTTAACATATAACACATCATTGTTTTGATATTGTTAAGGATGTGACTTTTAGTGTACTATGGCCATATAACTATGAGGTTTAGTTGTATTTACCTTTTGCTGCCCTGCAGGCCAAAGATCTGTACGAAACGGATGCCACATCTAGCAGAGTGTGGATCCTCACAAGCACCTTGACTACAAGCAAAGTTGTGATCATTGATGCCAACCAACCAGGCACGGTGGTGGATCATTTCACTGTCTGCAATGCTCACGTGCTTTGTATTTCTAGCATTCCAGGTAAGTGAAGACATATGAATAGATTAGATGTACATCTTTCAGGAGTGCTCTAACTGTGTATTCCTGCAAGGCAAGAGGCTGGAGTAGCTGGCCCATGCAGCCTCTTTTCTATTCTGTCTTTCTTGTATATGATTTTTTTGTTTGTGTCTGTATGTGCTGTGTGCCTTCAAGTTGTTTCCAACTTATGGCAACCCTAAGGCAAACCTATCATGAGGTTTTCTTAGCAAGACTTGTTCAGAGGAGGTTTGGCATTGTCATCCTCTAAGGCTGGGAGCATGTGACTTGCCCAGGGTCATCCAGTGAGTTTCATGACCGAGCTGGGAATTGACTGGTCTCCAGAGTCATAGTCAAATACTCAAACCACTATGCCATGCTGGTTTTTAAAAAAGATTGTTCAAACTGATTTTATTATATGTTATTCAGAGAACTTTATGGCGTAGTTTAGAATATTGTAAATAAATAAATGCTAGTTTTAGTATAGTTGAAGAGCTGGGCACCTAAATTCATGTACTTCCGTAGTGTAATCACTTTTATTTTAGATTTAACAAACATAATTAATGAGCCCAAGCCAGGATTCTGAAAGTTGCTGTCTAACAACATCTGGAAGGCCAGTTGCTCATCCCCAGTTTATGGGTTTGCAGTTTAAGTTGCTAATTGTTTTTCTGAAGCAATCAATTTCTAAAAAGAAAAAAAATTCTACACAAATAGACATTAGCACAATTTATATCCAGCCACCATGGTAATAATTTTTCTTGCCTTGAAATATACCAATCATTCATACGTAGACATATATAATTTAGCATGGATGTGGAGCATTCTGGGACATGCCATACTCTAGTCTGGCGTTTCCAGGAGGCTGTTGCAAATTGTTACACAATAACCCAGGATTTTTCCCGTTTGTTTCCTTGTAGCAGCCTGTGATACTGATTATCCTCCTGGGGAAATCTTTTTGGAGAGGGATGTGAATCCTGAAGAGTCACTAGAAACAGATGGTGTTTTGGCAGGCATCACACTAGTAGGCTGTGCAACCCGATGCAATGTCCCCAGCAGCAATTGTTCCTCGCGTGGAGACACCCCGGTGCTGGATAAAGGGCAGGGTATGTTTTTGATCACTTGCATGTCATATTGCAACAAGGATTTCCATCTAATTTACAGGTTTTTAATGAAATGAACTCATAAAGGACAATAAGAACAATTAAGAACTCTTATCACAGCATATATACTAGGCATCACTGAAACCTGGTTAGATGAGCCTCATGACTGGAATGTAGTAATAGAGGGCTTATAAGCTATTTCAAAGAAACAGACCAAACATGAAAGGAGGAGCAGCAGCATTATATGTCAAGGATGTTTACTCCCATGAAGAGATTCATGATTTAAATCCTGGAAGCCAAGTTGAGAGCATCTGTGTAAAAATTAAGAGAGAGAAAAATAACAGGGATGTTATTGTGGAAGTCTACTATAGACCCCAAAGCCAGACTGGGAACTTGGATTATGCCTTCCTGGAACAGATGACATCTCATTCAAAAAGGGGAGATGTTTAACTTATAAGATGAACTTATACACAAATCAGAATTGGACTTTGAGGAAGGAGGAATTAAAATTGGAGAAAGGAATATCAACAGTTGAAGATATGCAGATGATGCC